CAAAAGCGAGACAAGAGAAGCGGGAGTGGAGTCGGGAGCACTTCACCGGGAGTGGCAGTGGCTGAACGCTCTGGCTGAACGGCATTGCCTCTCCTCCGACTCTCTCGTCCGTCGCCCGTCACTGAGGCGCGTCGCTCGCAATTGGGCGTGGTTGTTGAGGACTGGTGTTGACTGGCGTTGACTGGTGTTGACTGGTGTTGACTGCTGTTAACTGGTGTTGACTGACGCTTACTGCAGCCACCGCTCTGCGGCTCTGCTACCTGCAATCCATTCGCCTTGAGGCCAGAAGGGGGACAAAGGCACAGGGAGAAGGAGATGCAAAGGAAAGGGATCGGCCTAGGAACTTGAAATGAGTGGGAGCAGCAAGAACGTCAAGGTGGCAATAGAGCAGAAGCTGTGGACCATGGCGAGGTGGGAGGAGGGAGGAGGGGGGAGGGGGAAGGCGCATGGCTACAGTGGCCCATGGAACTACAGCAGCGAACTGAGCCAGCGAGGGGGGACTGGGGTAGAGAGGGACGCGTGCATGGCATGAATGCACTCCCTCTCCCTCTAATCTCTCCCACCACTCCCACTGCACTGCACTCTACATGAGCTCTGCTGCCATAGCACCATGAACCACCACCACCATGCGCCAAGAAACAAATGTGCTTTGAGAATTGCAAAGAGTGAAAGAGACGGATGGGGAGCGATGGGGGACGAGGGGGGGAAGAGGAAACTTAGCTAGGGAGAAGCGTAGGGGTTGAAAGTGACTCGTCCGAGGGAGGAGCAGCAAGCAGCAGCATCACCATTCCGCACACCGTCGCACGCAGCAACTAGCCATTCCGCACGTCACCGACGCCGCCCAGCAACTCGCCATTCCGCGCAATGTCGCACACAACTCATATCGTCGCCGTTTCGCACACCGTCGCGTCACCATTCTGCACATCGTCGCGTCGCACCCAGCTCGCTGCAATTCCGCCTGCACTCCATTCGACCTGAGGCCAGAAGATGGATGGGGAACAAGGCACGGCGAGAAGGAAATGCAAAGAGATTGGCGTAGCGCAGGAAATTAAGCTAGAATGATGAAGCGGCAAGCATGACGTGGAAATTTATGAGCATTGGGAAACTTGAAGCAGATGGCAGCACGGCACAGGAGAGGTTGGGAGGAGCGTGGGAGGCGAAGGGAGTGTGGCGATGGCAGCCCGTGGCAGTTTGGCAGCGAGCGAGCTTGCAAGGGGGGACTGAGGAGGAGGAGGACGCGGGCATGAGGATGAATGCATTCTATTCTAATCCCCTACAGCTCTTTCTACATGCGCTCAGCTGCCTTGTGCCACGGCCCACCATTGCCACAAGCCCTCACACTCCCACAGAAAGACAACACAATTTAGAATGAATCTGAAACGGGAGTGAAGTTCGGAGCACTTAACGAGAAGTAGCTGTGGCCGAACGGCAAAGCTTTTTCATCAACGCTCTCGTCCGTCGCTGGTCATGGAGGCGTGTCGCTCGGCACTCGTTGCGCGCCGTTTGCCGTGCGTCGTTGCTCGCTGGTCGCCGGTTTCGGTCGGACGTCTCACTCGCGACGCCTTCCGTCTCCCGTCGTTCGCTGCTAGTCGTCCATCTCTCGTCTTCCGTCGCTTGCCATCCGTTCGCTGCTCGTCGTACGTCTGTCGTCGTTCACTTTTCGTCGTACATCTGTCGTCGTTCGCTGCTCGTCGTACGTCTGTCGTCGTTCGCTGCTCGTCGTACGTCTGTCGTCGTTCGCTGCTCGCCGTCGGTCACTCGTCGACCGTCTCGCGTCAAGGCTCATCTTCCGTTTTGCTGTCCGATTGAACGACGCTGACACTTGATAGCTGAAAGCTCGATCTCGCGTCGACCAGACGAGATTCAGCAAGATGCGGCGCTGCGATTCAGCAAGATGCGACGTTGCGATTCACCAAGATGCGACAACTCTAGTCATTCGGCGATGCTAGGAAATTAATCACCACCACACTCCTTTGATGCTCCGTCCGTTCCGCACTCCCAGCCAGGGCGCGACGTCTCCCGTAAGCAGGACGCGATTCAATAAAATGCGGAATTTCTCGGCTTGAGCAGACGTGATTGATATCGTGAAGGCGAGCATTACCAGACCAAGCATCCTGGAAAAACTGCTACAACAGCTCTGGCATACATTTGAAAGGAGGGGTTCAAAATCCTTGGGAACTTGAAAAGTTGCCCCAAAACTGTGAGTCACACTGTAAAACCCTCAACCTTACTGACAAATGTACACTGGAGCTTTAACAAAGGTTCGACTTCCTCCTTTTTCCAATATAACCAGTAGAGCCAATCGCTACCACGCTCCTACTGCTCCAGTCCGTTTTCACTCCAAGTTGCTAAGGCTAGATCGTTGAGACAGGTGGAAACTACTAGCGTCGCTTTTTCGAGGTAACAGCTGTCGCGGACGTCTAACTGCTTTCGTCAACGCAGTCGCCTCACCTCAGAGTACGAAACGAGAGAATCTACTTCCGAGCGATCAAGGAGATATGCACCGATTGATAAGTCCGAAGGTTCTTCCGACTCGGAATAAAGATCTATAATGAAGAATGATACGATTGAGGTCGGTGCTTCCCGTCGAACGACCCGCTGTTCAAGCCCTAGACGGCGATATTAAGAATTTAACAAGGTGATAAGGCTAATAGGATGTCACCCGCCCAAAAACTCAAAGAATGCGACGACGCCATGGAAACGAGTGTGAGATGAATTTTCGAGGTTCAGGGAAAGAACTGGAATGGGCTGGTGGCGATAGTGGCAATTCCTAGGGACGGAGCAAGAAGGGAGCAATTGCTGGCTGGTGGGTGAATGTGCGAATCTCAGCGGGGTGGTGGCTGGTGGGTGATTGTGTGAATCTCAGCGGGGTGGAGCAATTGCTTTCTGCTGCTTAGCCAAACACGGCGGACCTTATGGTTGTCAGTTCGCATGGCTGGAAGTTGGCGAGAGGATTCTGCTTCGCCAGGGGAAGATCAGGTCCTGCCGAGCACGACACTTGTTTCGTGAGCAGAGTTACCGAAAATCGCCGAGTTTGAGCAAAGCAGGTTTTGGCGTCTTTGCGCGGGAGCCGCCTCATTGATTGGTGGCACCTGACAGCCGTGCCAGTGATGGCGGGAAATTTGTTCAGGTATTGTACACCTCACGATCAACTCAAATCGAACGGTTCTAAGGTGTTTTCCGAGTTCTCAATTTCCATTGAGCTTTTTAGTCGAGTGCATAATTTTTTGCACTCTTGCTTCTGTAGAGGTTCCACGTTTATGGAATCGTGATTCTGGACGAATGCCTTTTTATCGAATGCAGCCCGTGTTGCACGCTTGGGGTTTGGTGCCTCTGTACTGTATTGATGGATTCTCCTCCACAAGTTGGTGCCAATGGGTTGGATGGAAGCATCCTAAAAAAGTTCAGCCCATCGGGCAGACCGTTGTTGACTTTACTGGGAGCGAGCGATCGGTAATGCCGCCAGTCTGGGCTGTCAGCTCCGTTGGGAAGCATGTTGGAAAAGTTCACAAGCTGACCTGATCCAAGATACAGCGCTTGCCGCCGCCGTCCAAGCCCAACCCGTGTGAGAGATTTCCCCCAACCCAACAACCCATACGTGAGGAAGAGAAGCCAACACAGCCCAGCACCGATCAAACAAGACTGGCAATCACAATGTCTAAACAAGACACTTCGACCCGAGTAATCTTGGTTGAAGGAGCTGGAACTCGTTGGTAATGGAGTGGGATCATTTCGTTCTCTTGACACCTCTTCAAACACACGACTACTTAGCTGCCGTGCGGCCTGTTCATAGTCGTAGGTAAAGCTCTCGAATTCGCTTTGAGTTGCATGAAGCGGACGAAGATGCTTGTGAGGGCAATCCAAGATTCTCCGTTGCTGCTTGGGATGGAACGCCTCGTTCCAGCATTAGTTCTGTCATCAGACGGCAAAATTCTAGGTTGCACTCCTGCTTTTTGCAAGATAGTAGGCTTGGCGGAGGAGGAAACTGTAGGCAACAATTTCTTGAACTTCGTACATGGAGATGAGAGGGATTGCGTCCAGGTAAAGCATCCTTAGCGATATCAGTTTCGTTCGCTGAAATAGCTTTTCTAATTAGGTTGTTTAATGACGCAGAGTGCACTTGGGGTGGGGCAAGAGAGAACATGTATTGACCTGCGAATTTCTCGCCACTTGGCCGACTTCGCATGGTTCGAAGCGAAGCTGACAAGATGCGGACGTAACGGCGAGCCGTCACAGTTCGTTTGTGTATTTCACGACATATCGCGATGGAGAAGAGTCGAGGTCAGGAAATCGTTTTGTACGAGCCTGTTATGACTCTTCTCTGCGCACTTACCATAGCCCTGTTTCTACGCAGGATATTGCTCAGAATGCTCTCAAAGAGTGTTTCGCTCTTGCTAGTTCACGGTCGAATGCATATCAGGAAAAAGCGTCTGCAGCAAGTGACAAGGGTCTTCGGGAGCCAGTGTCCCAACTGAAACTAGCCCTTGAGGCTGGGTTGGAAAGCGAGAAATTTAGACGGATATTTGAGATGTCCATGGTGAGTTCTTGCTTAATTGGTCATGGGTTCACTTTTCTGGACGTCAGAGCATAAGCGTAGCGTGGCCGTCACTTGCCTGAGCAGGACCCGATATTCTTGATAGGAGAAGACACAACGGTACATCAGTGTAACGAGGCTGCTCTTCGCATTTTGAAGCTCAACGACATGTCCGAGATTGTACAGAAGCTCACGGTGCCGATGGTGTCTCCAGAATTTCAGCCAGATGGCTCGAGGACACTAGAAAAGCTCCAGGAGTTTTGCCAGCCTTTGTTCGCTGGAGAAACGGTCACGGGAGAATGGTGGCACTACAATGCAGAGGGGACGCTCTTTCCAGTTCTTGTGAAAGTTCAGGTACATGCTTGTTTGTGCATCATGGTCGCTTGGCTTGGTCTATTTTCTCCAGGCCTAACCAAATGTGTTCGTTTTATTGCTACAGAATGTCGTTTCTAATGGGAAAAACTATATGGTCTGCGTATGGCATGACCTGACTGAAATCAAGAGACGTGAGGCTGAGTTAGAGAAAGCGAAGGAGGCTGCAGAGGCTGCTAGCCAAGCCAAGAGCCAGTTTCTGGCTAACATTAGCCACGAAATCAGGACACCCATGAATGGTTGGTGATTGTTTCTTGAATCCGCCTGGAATGCCTTCTTTTTAGGAATTCAACATTCTTACATCATTTATAATGCTTCATGTTGAGTATGCTGCCAGGCGTGATTGGCGTTACTGAACTGCTCCTAAGGACCGAATTGACAGAGGAGCAACGATCATACCTGGAGGTGGTTCGCTCATCAGGAGAGACTCTTCTAAATATCATCTCTGATGTGCTTGATATCAGCAAGATCGAGGCTCGTTCCATAGCGTTGGAATCCATACCCTGCAGCCTCAGAGAAGCCATTGATGAATCACTGTCCTCAGTTCGGGTGTTAGCACTGCAGAAGGACCTAGAGGTATGCCACACTTCCGCACTCCTTGTTGTCCAGTATATTTTTTCTCAACCACGATTATTCCTCCAACTGTTTCTTTCTTCTGCAATGTCAACAGCTCAACGCTTTTGTCGAGGATGCCCTTCCTTCGGAGGTCATTGGAGACCCTACCAGGATTCGCCAAATTTTGCTCAACCTGCTTTCCAATGCAATCAAATTCACCGAGAGGTATTAAGATTGGGAGACGTTGCTTCAGTGTGTGTGTGTGTGTGTGTGTGTGTTTTTGTTTTCTTTTGTTTTGTTTTTCTTTCTTTGTGGCAATATTGACTTCCATTTGTCAACAGTGGCAGAATCGAACTACGAGCCTTTATCAAGGACCCCAAGGATTCGCTGACAGTCCATCCCCGTCTGTCACCATGCACTTCATCCTGTCAGTAAGGAACTTTGAATCTACAAGGAAGGATTTAGTGGTGAATTTGTCCTAATTGTTTCTTCTTGTGACAATGACAGGGGCGGAGGGTAAGGAGCCTGGAAAGCGGATCAGGTTACTGGGTGATGCTAAGGATTCTACGCAGAGAAGTGACCCCACGATCTCTCTCATTCAATTTGAGGTGTCTGACACTGGAATTGGAATATCTGAGGACATGATTCCGACGCTTTTTCAACCGTTCACACAGGTATGTGCACAATAATGTGGCTGGATTTTGGCAGTTTGAAGTGTTCTATTAAAACAATTGTTGTTAATACATATCGAATTGTTTTTACAGGCAGATGAGTCAACCTCAAGGAAGTACGGAGGCACAGGGCTGGGCCTAGCTATCTGCCAGTCCCTTGTGACCCTCATGGGCGGTAAAATATCAATCTCGTCCACACTTGGTCAAGGCTCAACGTTCTCCTTCACACTGCCATTTCGAGTACCAGAGACAGCTTCAGGCCCACCACCAGAGATTTCTCCTCGGATGCTCACCTCAGGAAGGAACAATTTTGTTCCTGGACTTGCAGAAGCATCAGTGCACCTTCCTCCCCTGCATGTCTCAATACCCCATTCAACCTCCCTGGAGTCCCCGTCTCCTTTGGTAGAGCTGCGCTCGTTTGCAGGGCTGAGGTGTCTGGTGGTGGAGGACAATCCGGTGAACCGAATGGTGGTGGTGAGGCTGCTGGGCAGCCTGCAGGTCACCTGTGACGTGGCAGAGGATGGGGTCAAGGCGGTGGAAGCATGCCAAGCCAAGGAGTATGACGTCATCTTCATGGTGAGTCTGTCAGCTGGTCTAAATCTGGAGAGCTGGAGGTTAAAGAGGTGGGGGAGATGGGGGCGAGGGGAAGGGGAAGGGGGGGAATGGGGGCAATGATGGCTTGATTTGTCATGGATTAGTCATGCAAAGAGGCTGGCGTATTTGCTTTCATTGTTCTCTTGTTACCTATGTTTGAAATATTTTGCAGGATGTTCACATGCCAAAGATGGATGGGTTTGAGGCTACGCAACAAATCCGCCAGCTTAAGCATGATCCAGTGAACAGAATTTGCCCAGAGTGCTGGAAGGGAAGTGATTTTCAAATGACCTGTTTTTTCAAGCCTTACCATTCCCTGAGCCGGCCCGTGATCGTAGCATTGACAGCAAGTGCCCTCCAGCATGATCGTGACCAATGTGGCCAGGCTGGAATGGATGCCTTCTTGACCAAGCCAGTGAGGTTACAGCATCTTTTGAGTGTGCTTGAACCTTGTAGTTTGTTGCAAGGTGGTTGTGAGGATCATGCTGCTGAGCAGGATGACTTGGAGTGAGTTTTTTTATACCAGTACTTGCAATGTGTATATTCTAGTTTTATAGACCTCAGAACTTCATTTCGCTGTTCGGAGCGCGAACTCTATGGCATGTACTCTCGCGAACCAACAAACCTCAACTAACTCGGGGCCAGTTTGGATTGCCCATCGGAACGAGGGGAGGGGAAGCATCAGAGAAATCTAGGGTTCACAACAAAGACGTGCACCACCTGAAGTTGGCCTGATTGGCACAACTTGGCCTGGTTGGCATAACCACCGCAGAATGCCGCACTGAGCCACGTGTGCAGCGATCAGCGGCGCAGATTTATCTGCTCCAACCTCCCTTACCTCCATTGTCAACCTCGAGCTCCTCTCCACAGTAATTGATGGCTGGTGCTTGTCGTTCTTGAGCAGAGCGTCGCTGTATCAGATTCAGCAGTGATAAGGCAGAGAAGAGCAACCCCTTACAGCATGGAATCCCCAGGCAGCATCAAATCAAGAGGAAGTCGTATCTCCCTCCATGAATGACCTTCGAGCAAGGATCGAGCAATTCCCAGGCAACAGAACAAGCCTCCTCTGGAGGAAAGTATTCCACATTGTTTATGACCCGAAGTGCGAATCGTACACCAAGGTTTGGGAGGCAGGTTGACCCCTTTTCTGTGATTTGATGCTGGACACTTCTCAACCGGCGGGCCATCCTTGACTGCTTGGCGAATTAACAGTTCCTTTGCTCGTTTCTTGACTGGTTCCTCCATAACCAGGAAGGATAAAATGGCATTGCGTGACTCACAACAGCCGGCGCTTTCAGATGTAGCTTGCGTCGCCCTTATATCTACGCACGGGGATATAACAGATTGCAGGTGTGCTGCTGCACGTGCTCCAGTATTTCGCAACGATGCATCAACATTACTCTTCACGGTTTTACCGTTGAGAGATTCTTGACTGTTTTTTTTCCTGCAGTTCGGCGTTTTGTAAAGTGCTTGGTTATGACCAGTGCGATATCATCCATCGTCCGTTCGAAGAGATCATAGATTGCAACCACAGGAGCCGTTTTCAGGCACGTACATCCATCTCCGAGTGTCTGTGCACTGTGTCCCCTAGAGAGTACCATATAGGCGCCGTCCCTTGGATTGTATCAGTAAAATCTCAAATCATGATCTCTTGATCCAAGCTTGTGTTGCCGTTTCATTTCCCACAGAGTGCACTGAAGAAGGCTCTCCAAAAAGCAGCGTTCGAGCTTCGCCTGAGATGTCACAATGGCGGCACTGCATGGTTCGATGTCTCCATGAAACCGGTCCTAGCAAATTCCGCGGATGGGCCAGTCTCGTCATATTGTTGCGTGTTCCATGACATCTCCACGCGGAAAACTGCTGAAGTACGTAGCGACGAAACCACTGCCTGCACATTGTGTGTACTCTGTATTTTTTTTCACTGTACCTCTCTCTCGGTTCTTCTTTTTTCCTGTTTCCTTTTTGCCTTTTATGAAGCATAAGGAATACCTCGTGAGGCAAGCTGCTCTGATCTGTTTCCTTTCTGACCTTACCACTTCTAGTAGTCTGTCCAACTTAACTGTAACTGTTACAGGAGCAACTATTGGGAGGGCTCAGAAGGTGCTTCAAGCTCTGCGGAGCATCATTTGGAGAGTTTGATCCTCCGTCATTGTTTGAAAATCCAGATACCTTTCTGCACCGGCTGAAACTGGTTGAAGAGACTCTTAAGACAGGGCAGGAGAATGAGAAGTTCAGAAGAATATTTGAAATGTCCATGGTAAGGCTCACGTTAATGTGTGCAATGGAATAGATATCAAGCCTGTGAGAATTGGGGTTACACTGCATGTTGGATCCTAGAACTGGCACTTTCCACCACATTTGTGATGCTTTTTATCTACTTTAATCCGTTGCATGGAGCGTCCTCCGTGCCTCAATCCCTCAACCTGCTTGCCTCAGGACCCGGTTTTCATCGTTTCTGACGACATGGTAATTCAGGAATGCAACGAAGCAGCCGTCAAGATCCTGAAATTCAAGGATAAATCCGAGATTGCAGGCAAGGTAGACGTTGCCAGCCTGACGCCCGAGTTCCAGCCAGACGGGACAAGATCTGCCGACAAGTTGGCTCAGTTCAGCCGCCCGGTGCTCTCAGGAGGAGGCTCTGCCATTGGCGAGTGGTGGCACTATGCGTCGGATAAAACCCTCATTCCGGTCCTAGTAAAAGTTCAGGTGCGCTAGGTTCGTGAGTTCAGGGTGTGGCATGTGTGATGTGGTCTGGGGCATGGTCCCTGAAGTGTGCTTGTTGCGCGGGATCATGGGCACTGGATTACGTGGGTCTCTGTCTTCTCATTTCAATCACCTACACTACACTACACCCCTCCCAACCCCTCTCTCCCTGCACGCACACCTCTCCCACCCCACCCTGCCCCTCCCTTCTCACCCCCCATCCCTCCCTCCCCCACACGCTTCCCCCCTCCCCCACACGCTAACCTGGCAGTGCGTGCAAGCCAACGGGCGCAGCCACTTTGTGACCGTGTGGCACGACCTCACAGACATAAAGCAGCACGAGCAGGCGCTGCTCAAGGCGCGGGAGAACGCGGAGCGCGCCAACGCGTCCAAGAGCGAGTTCCTCGCCAAAATCAGCCACGAGATCCGCACCCCCATGAATGGCGTCATCGGTGTAGCAGACCTGCTGTTGCAAACCCCGCTGAGCAACGAGCAACGGTCGCTCCTCGAGGTGATTCACTGGGGGCTTGCTGTCAGGGAACTCACTGTCTGGGGATTATATCCGGTGTGCTGGATATTGGCAAGATGCTTTTGTGTCGACTCAAAAGTGTATGAGGCGTGCTGGATAGAAGCAAGATGGAGGCTCAGTCGGTGCTTGTTTGTTGTCGTCAATGCAGGTAATCCGCACGTCGGGGGACTCGCTGCTGAGGATCATATCGGACGTGCTGGATATAAGCAAGATGGAGGCGCACTCGCTGCAGCTGGAGGCCGTTCCGTTCAACCTGCGGGCTGTGGTGGCTGAAGCGGAATCGACCGTGCATGTGCTCGTGCTGCAAAAGGGCATCCAGGTGTCTGCTCTGCTCTCTGTCTCGCTCGCAGCCCTGGATCTCCCTCCCCCCTTTCTGTGCTTCCTGTTTCTTGAAGGATTCTCCCCATCCCCTGCTGCATCTCATTCCTCTGCTGCCACAATTGCTTCTCCTGTTCCGCCCTCACATGATTCTCACACTTGTGCCAGTCTGTCTCCTCCTTTTTTTTGACATGCACAGGTCTCTTCCCTTCTCCCTTTCTTACCCTTCACACGTCTCCGCCCACCCCTCCCTCTTACTACGTACATGTCTCCTCCTATCTTTTCCTCATGCACGGACATGCCATGCTGCCCGCCCTGCATTCAGCTCCTCGTTGACGTGGATCCAGCCGTGCCCTCGCTTGTGGTTGGGGACCCCAGCAGGCTGCGCCAGGTGCTGCTGAATCTCCTCTCCAACGCCATCAAGTTCACTTCCAGGTAAGTGCTTGACCTGTCGAGTCGAGGCATGCGTTTCCTCTCGGGCACGTCAGGCTGGGCAGTCAGAGTGCAGGACAGAAGAGATGTGCATGTCGTGAATGGAAACATAAGGATTCTTCATTCTCAGGTGTTTTTTGTTGAATTCAACTCCACGTGCTTGCTGATACATATTAACAACCCGTGTTCCCTTTTCCTTGCAACAGGGGCCATGTGAAAGTGCGTGTGAGCCTGTCAATAGCAGCTGAAATTCTACCAGCGTCAGCACAGCCAGATGCAGTGAAAGCTGACCCACAAGCCTTGTCAGCAGAACAAGGAGCAGCCTCAGCAGAGCCCGAAACTGCGTCAGCGAATCCTCGTGCATCGTCACTAGAACCCAAAGCATCTCCGACAAAACCCAGCCGAAAGAGAGTGTTATGGGGAACGGGTGAAGGGATGGCAGGATTAGAGGATGATGCGAAGAAGAGGGCGAGATCTGAGGAGGGGGGGAAGGGGGGCGACAGGGCAGGATACGAATTTGGAAAGAAGAGTGATTCCTTGCAGAAGCAGGCGTTGGAAAGACTAGGTGCTGCAAAGATGGCAGGAATGGGGACTTCTAGAGCTGGAAACGGGTTCCAAGAACATGGCAGTGTGCCAGAGGAGAGAGAGAGAAACGGCGAGGCACGAGTACCAAGTGAAGGAGGTTGCTGCGAGCATGTGTCTGCTGGGCCGTCAGCTGATGCAGATGTTCCACAGGAGGAGCAATCAGGCCCGTCAGCAGCAACAGATGTTTCACAGGAGCAGCGAGGTCGGCCAACAGCAGCAGAGGTTTCACGGGAGGAGCAATCAAGTCCCTCTATGGCAGCAGCAGGCATGGCTTTTGAGGCGTCTCAAGAGTTGAGTGCGCTGAGTGCTGGCCTGGCACCCGCCGCGGGTGTGCCACGGGAGCAATCAGATCCATCAGATCCATCACCAGCAGCGGCAGTTGCTGTTTCACCGCAAGAGCAATCACACCCACCTGTATTAGCAGATGCTAACCTTGCAGCTGAAGGCTCTGCAGGGAAGTCACAACATGAAGACATAGCCAGAGCAACCAGCTCGGAGAAGCAAGCTGCATCTGCATGCCTTCCTGAGAATGGCAATTTGATGATCAGGTCCCTTTCCCTGGAGAAGGCGCGGGCAATTACAGTGTGCTTTGAAGTGACAGACACTGGGATCGGCATTCCACAGCAGATGCTGCCAAAGTTGTTCCAGCCTTTCACACAGGTGCGGCCACGCAGCTGATGGCCCTCACTTCGATCACCCCCTAATCTTATTCCTTGTTTTCCCTGCCTGTATATCTCCTCCCGCGCTTTCTTCACTCGTGTAAGCACACCGAACGAGTTCCGTCCTTGTTTTCTCTTTTGCCAGTGACCCTTTCATCTCGCTGAGGTTGTCTGGTTGGCCCCATTCCTCTTCCGTTTTCTGTTCCTCCCTGCTCCTCTCCTCTCCCTCCATCCCTTTCCTCTTCCCCTGCAGGCGGACAAGTCCACCGCGAGGAGGGACGGAGGCACGGGGCTGGGTATCGCCATCTGCAGGTCTCTTGTGTGGCGCTCATGGGAGGCACCATTTCCGCTTCCTTGCACTCTCTCCCGCTGCCTCACCCCCTAAACCTCAAACCCTGCAGGCGGACAAGTCCACCTCAAGGAGGTACGGGGGCACGGGGCTGGGCTTGGCCATCTGCAGGTCGCTAGTGACGCTCATGGGGGGCACCATCTCCGCCTCCTCCCGCCCAGGCCATGGCTCCTGCTTCTCCTTCGCCCTGCCCTTCACTCTCCCCACTGGGAGCTGCTTCGATTCCCCTGAGGTCACGGATACTTGTGCTGTTGCTAAGTGTGGTGGAGTCACAGGGAGTGTCGCAGCTGCAGGTGGGACAGGTGGGGCAGTTAGGGCAGTTGGGGCCGGTGGGGCAGGTGGGGCAGGTGGGACTGCAGGAGCGACTGTGGGAGAAGGCCAAGTACAGATGCCTGTTCCATGTGACTCCCCTGTACCTGACAACCATCTGTCAAGCCGGCTACATCCAGCCACTTCCGTACCATTCCTCTCTCCGTGCACTCAGCTCCCAGCTGCCACTGCCAGTAGCGGCAGCGGTGCATACACACTTTCACCTGCCAATTCACCTGAGCTCTCCGCTCTGCCCTCATCCACAGCTCCACCTGCCATTCCACCTACTATGGCGGCATTGGTTCCTCACGGTCTTGCACCCAGAATCTCTAATCCCCCATCACCATTGACAGCACCATTGGCAGCACTGTTGGCACGATCAGCAGCACTGTTGGCAGCGCCAATGGCAGCACCATCAGCAGCACCATCAGCAGCATCATTGGCAGCATTGCCTCATTCGGCCTCTTGGGAGTCCTTTTCTCTAGTGGCAGCGGCGGCAGCGGTGCGCTCCTCTTCTCCATCGGTAGAGCTGCAATCGTTTGCCGGGCTGAGGTGTCTGGTGGTGGAGGACAATCCGGTGAACCAAATGGTGGTCGTGAGGCTGCTGGGCAGCCTGCAGGTCACCTGTGACGTGGCAGAGGATGGGGTCAAGGCCGTGGCAGCATGCCAAGCCAAGGAGTATGACGTCATCTTCATGGTGAGATGCGGTGGGCAATTATGGTAACTACGATATAGAGTTTCAGCTACATGCAACTGTTGCCTTTTTGTGGTTGTTACGATACAAACTGCGGTGGTCCCTCGTCTGCGGTGGTCCCTTTTCTGTGGTTCAGGGTCTTCCGCCTTCGATGTCCTTTGGGATCATGCGGTTGGTTCAGTAACCAGTTGTTTCACTCCTCCCTCACTCGTCTCTTGCTCTTGCCTGGAATTTCTTTTGCAGGATGTGCACATGCCCGAAATGGATGGGTTTGAGGCGACTAGAAGGATTCGCGAGATTTCTGATACAAACAGCGGCGATTCTTCAGCTTCTGGAAGGCAGTCAGGGCATGGTGCAATTGTTAGCAGCAACGACATGTACTTCTTCAATCCTTCAAGGACGCTAAGCAGACCGTTAATCATTGCACTAACGGCAAGTGCGCTCAATCATGAACGCGACAAGTGCGCACGTGTAGGAATGGACGCTTTTCTCACGAAGCCAGTCCGTCTTAAAGATTTAGAAGCTGTGCTTAGACCCTGCTTTTCCCATGGTTTTAAAAGGACGTGTGCATGAGTGCCGAGAGCATGGGATGGAACACATTGAGATGGTGCACTAGGAAGCTTCCCTCGTGCACCAGGATTTGGCATGTGGGCAGGCATGTGGAAATGAAGTGAAAGTTGTAAGCTCTGGACCTCTGGCCTGGCCTGGTTTCACATCTTGGCCACCTGGGAGTAAAGGTCAGGATGACTCAGCACTGACCAAGAACCCAAAAGTCCTCATAGGGTAACAAGAGATCAAGTTAGATAATAATGTAGAATTCACGTTACCTCCAGTAACAGCGCTACCAGGTCCAATAATGTAAGGAATTTTCCTAATTCCTTACTGAGGCACCGCTTACGCGTACATTTCCAAATTTCGGAGTTCAGGCTCGGTCCGACGACCTCGCCTCCCGAACGTCCTCCGCGTCGCCTTCGGGTTTCCCAAACCCAAACCTACACCCAACCTCGCACGACTTCGCGACCTCAGGCTTAGCTAGCCTTGCTATATTATGCCTAGGCCCCGATGTTTGCTCAGTAGTTGTAATCACTTCCGCGATATTGCATTCTGCGCACTCTTCTTTCATACAACTCATAACACCTGGTATCAGAGCTACTTTCCTAGGTTACCCTCCACTTTCCGGGGTAGTTTAGTACGGGGGTGCGATAGGTTTGGTGGGCTGCAAAGCGGTCGGCTGAGAGATAGATACGATTATCTCGCTCCGACTAATAGCGTTTGCGCCTTCATCAAAACCAGAAAAATCGTTGTTAACCCCCTGCCCGTTAGACGAAGCCTGCGACACATGGACCAGGCGGAGTTAAACGAGCTCATGCAACAGTTTCGGGCGCTGCAGGCCAACATGCAGACTATGTCTGGCGAGTTGGAGCGCCTGAGGGAGGAAAACGCCGAGCTACGCCAGACGCGAGGTGAAGCGCGTCAGGAGTCGCCCGTCGTGGATGAAGCAGGGAGCAGTTTCGTGCCTAACGACGAGGTCCTCAGCGAGCTACAGAACTCGCTGGACGCTGAAGACGAGCGGGCAGCACGAACGCGACGAGCACAAGGGACGCAGGAACAACAGTCACAACCGAGGCAACAGTCGCAGACGACGCCACGACAGGCAACAGCGACAATCCCGGTGATGGCTTCAATGGCGCCCCCGATGCATGCAACAGCAACAGCCTCAACAACTGTTAAAATTAAACCGACGAACCCGCCCCCGTTCAATCCCAGCGACAAAACCGTCACTGTGTCAGCTTGGTTGTTCGGCGTAGAGGTGTTTTTTAATGCTGCGCAAATTGCTGACGATGCTACCCGCATTAATTTTGCAGTGTCACTATTACGAGGACCGGCGTTGGAATGGTGGAAGCGAACTCTTCAGCCAGAGGGGGCTCCGGCAGGGATATCACGTGCGAACGACGGGACCTGGACAACTGTCACGCAACAGGCAACTGCAATCTTCGGAGTGGCCACGATACGCACATGGACGGAGTGGGGCGCCGCGCTGCGAAGAAGATTCGAGCATGTATCCGCCTCGGATTCTGCTCGCATGAAGCTGCGTACCTGGAAGCAGGTGGCGTCGGTCCAAGATTACACAGCGACGTTCTGCAATTTGGCTGACCAAGTGGACGACATGAGCGACGCGAAACGACTCGACCGATACGTCGCAGGCCTCAAGTACGAAGTACAGTACAAGGTGCGACGGGCGAGGCCACGCGTATTTATCGAAGCCGTCCGGGTGGCCGAATCAACGGATGCGCTGATGCAATGGGCGAGAATGAGTTCCCGGGAGGGCACTCAATTCCGCGGACCGCCGCGCCAGCCCACAATCAACGGGGTGGATGCACCGAGGCGGGGAAACAACAACTGCTTCATCTGCAACCAACCGGGCCACTGGAAGAAGGACTGCCCGAAGCTGAAACAGGGAAACAGGAACGACGGAGAGGGGTCCGGAAAAGAGACGAGTCAGTAGCAGTCGGGCCACCTACTGACGAGACCCCGTCGCCCGGCAATCAACATCCACACCGAGTGGTGGTACCGATACGGGCTATCGGCCGCAACCGGACGAATAAAGTGGATGAACACGTGGATCACACTGTGCTGGTCGTGGGGAGGGTTAATGGGAAAAAAATGAAATTATTCGTCGACGGTGGGGCGAGCCACAGTCTCGTCAACCTAGCGACGGCCAAAAAAATCGGAGTCAAGCTGGACAGGTGTCTACTAGAGATTGATGCGCGATTGGTGGACGGAACACCGCTGGCGATCAAGGACGAGGTCCGACAAATTCGGATGAAGTGTGGCGACGATTTCGGGTTCTCCATGCGGATGTTGGCGACAACGCTGGACGGTTGCGATGTGCTGCTCGGAAGGGATTGGCTGCAGCGTTTCAATCCGACCATCGTCTGGACGACGGGAGCGATCACGGTGCTGTGCAACAAGGGGCGCGTGACACTTCCGAAATGGGCGGAGCCGGAGCCGACGACAACACGTGTCAACGCGATAACGATGAAGAGGGCGATTAAACGGGGAGCGCAGGGCTACGCCGTACAGCTGTACGAGGTGGTGGCTTCCGAAAAAAATCGCCGACATCGACACGCTCTGCGCTGCTGTACCCAACGACGTGGCGAGCATAATTCAGAGGTACCCCGAAATATTCGCGGATGACCTACCTGATGGGCTGCCACCTCAGCGTCCGGAAGACCACAGGATCGAGCTGGAGCCAGGCGCGAAACCAACCGTTCGGTCCCAATGGCGGCTCAGCCAACCGGAGCTCGACGAATTGCAGAAACAGCTGGATTATCTGCTTTCTAAGGGTTTTATCCGGCCGAGCACGTCGCCGTACGCCGCCCCGATACTATTCACACCGAAGAAGGACGGAGGCCTGCGCATGTGCATCGACTATCGAGCGTTGAATCGGGTCACAATCAAGTCGCGTTACCCGATCCCACGAACAGACGACCTGCTGGATCAACTTCGCGGGGCTCGTTTCTTCTCGATAATCGATTTGCGAGGTGGATACCATCAAATTCGGGTGTTCGCCGACGACTGCCCGAAGACCGCATTCCGAACCCGCTACGGCAGTTATGAGTACACCGTGATGCCGTTCGGGCTGACGAACGCACCCTCGACGTTCCAGCTCACTATGAATGGGGTGTTTCGCGACATGTTGGATAAAAAAGTTATCGTTTACCTGGACGACATCCTGGTGTACAGCAGGACACGGGAGCAGCATTTACAAGATTTGGACGAAGTGTTCCGGCGCTTGCAGCAGAACCGGCTGATTACGAAGGGCTCTAAGTGCGAGTTCTTACGGTCGGGGTTGGAGTTTCTAGGGCACGTCGTCTCTGGGGAAGGCATTAAAATCGACCCTCGTAAAATAAAAGCGATTTCGGAGTGGATGCCGCCCACGAACATCACTGAGTTGCAGAGTTTCCTCGGCTTCGTTAACTACGTCCGCCGTTTTGTCCCCAATATGGCGGGGGTAACCAGGCCGTTAACCGATCTCCTGCATAAGGGCGTGCAGTTTCTTTGGGGGGAGAGAGAACAGCTGGCTTTCAACGAGCTGAAGAAAATTTTGAGTTCACCCCCGGTGCTTCGACTGGCAGATCCATCTCGACCGTTCGAAGTCGTGACGGACGCCAGCGATTTCGCTGTCGGCGCTGTGCTACTACAGGACTTCAGCAACGGACTGCAACCCATCGCGTACGAGTCAAGAAAAATGCAGCCGCCCGAGCGCAACTACCCGGTTCACGACAAGGAAATGCTCGCCATCGTGCATGCGTTTCGAACATGGCGATGCTACCTCACGGGAGCGGATGTCACAATCCGAACTGACCACAAATCACTACAGTACATGCGCAACCAACCACAGCTCAACCCACGACAAATCCGGTGGATCGACTACCTCGAATCGAATTTTCGCTACACCATCACATATAAAAAGAGCGCCAACAACATCGCCGACGCCCTGACCCGCCCATCCATGCAGACCGCAGCAGTACTAATCGCCCATTCCAACCCTTTATTGACAGGATTGTTCAAGCACGGCTACAGGATCGACAGATTTTTCAGGACCAGTCAACACCGCGGGGTCACTACACCGCATGGAAGTTACTACCTAAAAGTCGGTACTAACCGAGTTTGGGTACCTTCCTACCGACCCTTACGCGAATTGCTGACGCAAGAAGTACACGATTCCAACCTCTCCGGGCATTTCGGCGTCGACAAAACATTGAAGCTGCTGCAGCGGAACTACTACTGGCCCGACATGGCGTCGGACGTGCAGCGCTATGTGTCCGCCTGCCCGACCTGCCAGGCAATGAAGTCATCACGACAACGACCAGCTGGCTTACTGCAGCCCCTTGAGCCACCCGAACGACCGTGGCAACAGGTGACTATGGATTTCGTCACGGGCCTTCCAGCTGGCGCAAGTGGCAACGACTCCGTGCTCGTCGTCGTTGATCGCTTAACGAAAATGGCTCATTTCGCGCCCTGCCGTACAACGATCACAGCCGAAGAAACAGCGCGACTCTTCATCTCCACCGTCGTACGCCTCCACGGGTTACCTTCGGCGATCATCAGCGATCGAGATCCGAAATTCACGTCAAAATTTTGGCAGGAGACATGGGCACAGTACGGCACCCGCCTGCAATTTTCGTCGTCCTACCACCCGCAAACCGACGGACAGACAGAGAGGACAAATCAAACGATGGAGCAGCTGATTCGCACGAACTGCCCGGACATCACCAAGTGGGAAGATTCTCTTCCCATGCTCGAGTTTGCGTACAATAACGCCCCATCTGCAACGACCAAGCAATCACCATTCTACCTGAATCACGGGATAGACCCGGTGGTACCCTCATCGACAACTCCCAACAACCCGGTACCCAGGTCACAGCAGTTTATTTCGGAACTCCAGGACGCGCGTGCCAAGGCAGCTGACTTTATCCGAAAAGCGAATTCGACCGCCAGCCGCTACGCTGACCAACATCGACGGAATTTACCCTTCCGCGAGGGGCAGATGGTCCTCCTGGACACCAAAAACCTCAGACTGCCCCAGCCCGCGAAACTGCGTCCTCGATACGTGAGACCTTTCCGCATCGTTCGAATGCTGACACCGGTCACTGCGAAGCTTCTCCTCCCGGACGACTGGCATATCTACGACGCTTTCCACGTCAGTTTGCTTCGCCACTACGTGGCACCCCAGTCCCCCGACGTCGCTCGACCCCACCAGGCGCCCAGTGTCCGACCGGTAGCAGATCCCACGCTCCAGCCCTGGAAGATATTGAATCATCGCATTCGTGCGACCCCAGCCGGCCGCCACGTCGATTTTCTCTTACGTTGGGTAGATCGCACAAGTGAAGACGACACGTGGGTCCCAGCTGACTCACTACAAGGGCACTCGGTACTCCGGCAGTATCTTTCTCGCCGACACGTGCCTGATATTGACCAGCTTTCTTGAAGGGGGGGGTAGTGTAAGGAATTTTCCTAATTCCTTACTGAGGCACCGCTTACGCGTACATTTCCAATTTTCGGAGTTCAGGCTCGGTCCGACGACCTCGCCTCCCGAACGTCCTCCGCGTCGCCTTCGGGTTTCCCAAACCCAAACCTACACCCAACCTCGCACGACTTCGCGACCTCAGGCTTAGCTAGCCTTGCTATATTATGCCTAGGCCCCGATGTTTGCTCAGTAGTTGTAATCACTTCCGCGATATTGCATTCTGCACACTCTTCTTTCATACAACTCATAACAAATAACCTGTTTTCTGAAAATGAGCCGCACATTTGGCTTGGAAGTGGAGTCGCAGAGATTGTCTTAACAGTCCTTGCTATCCTGCATCGCACATCCTGCATCGCACATCCTGCATCGCACACATCCTGCATCGCACACCGTCCTTGCTATGGGCGGAATCGATCTATGCGAACTGACTGGTCGCAGAGCGCGGTTCATAGTGCCTGGCGAACTCTGCGCAGCGTTGTTCGGAGTCGGTCGTCGTCGCTCAAGCGATTATGGAGGTGCCGACCTCTGACGAAGCTCTTTCCCGCCCATGGCCCCCGACTGCGTCGTAGCTGATCAGACCAGAGCGCTTCGGCTGGAAGCATTTATGAAAGTTTTCGTTTTGAAGCAATTTGTTTTTGTGCTGCCCACTTCAACCCGACTCTTGCGGGTCTGGTCCGCCGCTCCATTCCACTCCCTCGGAAATCGAACTTGGCACCTATGTTTCGAACATGTGAGTGCATACCTGGGACATTTTTCTTTCCATTCTTTGTGCAACTGTCATTCGGTCAGGCGGTCCTCCCGACTGAGGTTCTGTCGCGCTTGCGCCGAGACCGACGCATTTCTGGGCATGAAATCGGGTTTCTCCTTTTCAATAGACAGTCTCCGCTGCCCCAAGGATTTTTGTAGGAAATTACTGCATTGCCGGGGATGCTACCATCCCGCCAACCCATGTTTTACACCCATCACATGATCTCCCCCGGCATCCCATCCCATCCCATCCCATCCCATCCCATCCCATCCCATCCCATCCCATCCCATCCCATCCCATCTCATCCCTACTTTTTCGTGCCCTGTGTTCAGTGATAGTGCCATGCCACACCAGCTTCAATCTCCGTTACAAGTAGGGGGCGCGTCGCATCGCATCCCAGCATGGGGGGAATTGAAGAGATGAAGCGACGGAGCTGGCAACATTTCATGCCCGTTGGGAAGGCAAGCCTCAGCCCAGATGCTCGCGTCGGCTTGGCTCAGATGTTGATGAGCTCAATTTCAGCATTCTGTACTGTATCTTTGGGAGTGCCATCATACCTCTTAGCCTTCTCAATCGCCTCATTGAAACTGGCACACTTCGTAGCAGTTGATACTTCCTTACAAGTGGCGCATCTCGCACTGTGCACTCGGCATGTCTCGATAGTTCATTCTTGAGTTCCTTTTATCGACCTCCTTTTTTCATGTCTCTCATCGTGTGAAAGAGAGCCATTCGTCCAGGCCTCTCCCTTGGAACAATAATGTAGATTAAACGGCTCTCATCGAGTAGCCTACAAAGTTTCTTAGTGTTAGAGAGCCTTGAAGAGGGCACTGGAGTTCTTTTAGTGCTGAAAGGCGGGCTGGCCTTTAGCAGTATGATATATATACTTCGAGAAGCTTTTTCTCAAGTCGTTTGTTGAGAGGAAAGAATCAAGTAGAGTCAAACTGACATAGGAAGTAAACAACGGAAAGCCATTATTAATCTGATCGCGATGGAAGACTCGATCATCTTGGACCACGTCCTTTTGCAACTCAACACGACCAAGAGCAGGTCAGTCAATTCCGATCCTTAATCCTGCTTTCAGTAGCATGAGCCAAAGAATGGCTCGTCATGCAATAGGATCATCCTGCTACTAGAACACATATGCGTCGGTTTTCCTCTTCTCGATTATAATAATTGTCCCTGTCATTCATCCTGCTGTCTCCGCATGCAATCCTGTCCCGATGCAGATGCGACGTGGTCGTATCTTGCAACGGAGAAGCCACTATCGTGTCCACTGGACTAATCCGTCCCTTCGCGTCGCACATCAAGGCCGTGGACGACCAATTCAAGAGCGGCGCGCACCTGATTAAGCTCGACCCGCGCGAATGCCGCGAGTTTCTAGATCGGCAGCGGCTAAAACATCCGCTAGCAGCAGCAGCAGCGGAGGAGGACCAAGCAGAGGAGGACACGCTTCTCGGCTGGTTCAACCTGAAAACCGTTGAGAGGTCAGCTTCTCTTCCCCGCTGCCTCTCCTCCTCCCCCACCCTTCCCCCCTGTTCCCCTCTTTCCCTCCCACCCTTGGCATGCTTACATTCTCGAGACTAAGATACCCTTTGGTTGCATTGGAGGTTTTAGATGAGAAGGATACTTTCTTGCGTTGCTACGACCGTAACGTTTGTGAAGTCACCCGGGCTGCCCCGGAACAGCTAGCTATACTCATCTGTCACCGTGTCTGTGTCTGCACCTTCCACAGGATAATAACATTCGTGAAGTCACCCGGGCTGCTGGAGCACGCGGTGACGATCGAGGCGGAGTTGCAGAGCCTAGACGACACCATCCATACCCCCGCCGCTGCCTCTGAGCCGTTTCAGGTACGCGGGGAACAAGTCAAACTCCAACTCGTGAGCCTCTCCCGTTCTTCCGCCCAGAACCGCGTCCTTGCCACTTGGAAACTGTTCGACACGTCGCGTGTTTGCTCGTGACGACACGTCGCGTGTTTGCTCGTGACGACACGTCGCGTGTTTACTCGTGACGACACGTCGCGTGTTTGCTCATGAGGACACGTCGCGCGTGACTTATTTATCGCTTGCCCTGTCGCACGTGACTGACTGATTGCTTGCCCCGTGGCGCGCGGTTGCCTGACTACCCTCCGTGCCACGGCAGGCGGAGCAGCATCTGGACGACAGCATCGGCAGAATGGAGGAGGGCCCGAGTTTTTGAGACGTCTCAAAACCCAACTTTTATCACCCTCTGTGCCACGGCAGGCGGAGCCGCTACTGGACGGCAGCGACGGCAGAGTGGAGGAGGCCCTGAGAGGGGCGACGCCGCTGAGAGACCGCCTCTCTGGCCGACGAGCGTCGTCTCGCTCGCCGTCTCCCGCCCGAAGCCTTGTCAGTGCTCACATCCCCGCTCGTGCTCACGTCCCCCTTGTGCTCAAATCCGCTCGTGCTCAAATCCGCTCGTGCTCACATCCGCTCGTGCTCACATCCGCTCGTGCTCACATCCGTTCGTGCTCACATCCGCTCGTCCTCACATCCGCTCGTGCTCACATCCGCTCGTCCTCACATCCGCTCGTGCTCACATCCCGCTCGTGCTCACATCCCGCTCGTGCTCACATCCCGCTCGTGCTCACGTCCCCGCTCGTGTTGACGGTCGTTCCCGTCCTCTGTTCCCATTCTATGTGTGCGTGATCCCGTGTGTGCGTGATCCCGTGTGTGCGTGATCCCGTGTGTGCGTGATCCCGTGTGTGCGTGATCCCGTGTGTGCGTGATCCCGTGTGTGCGTGATCCCGTGTGTGCGTGATCCCGTGTGTGCGTGATCCCGTGTGTGCGTGATCCCGTGTGTGCGTGATCCGTGTGTGCGTGATCCCGTGTGTGCGTGATCCCGTGTGTGCGTGACTTCGTGTGTGCGTGATCCCGTGTGTGCGTGATCCCGTGTGTGCGTGATCCCGTGTGTGCGTGATCCCGTGTGTGCGTGATCCCGTGTGTGCGTGACTTCGTGTGTGCGTGATCCCGTGTGTGCGTGATCCCGTGCATGCGTGACTTCGTGTGTGCGTGAGTACTGCAGAGCGGATTCAAGACGGATGCGTCCAGCGATAGCGGCGAGCGCGAGAGGTGAGATTGGGGTTGACACGGCGTGATGCGTGGCCCTCAGGCTTTAGAGCCGTCACGTGACGCTACGCTTCCCTGGTTCCTTCTTCTAAAGACCAAGTGTTGAAACTACTCATGGGTGTCCCTCGTAATACTTTTCGAGACGTCTCAAGAAGCGGCCCTTCTTGTGTGTTCCCCCACCTACCTCTGTTTCCGCGCAGTCACCTGCGCCGCGCCAAGGACGTGCGCACGGCCATGCTCAAGCGCGAGCAAGGAGTGGCAATCGCGCGCGCAGCGGCGGCGGGATTCTCCCCCGACGTGGTGCCGCTGCTGCTCTGTTTCGCGGATTGCTTCGGAGCCGTCCGATTGAAGCACGCGTGCGTGAAGTTCTCCTCCCTCGTCCGCCGCCAAGACTCTGCCTACGCGGAAAGCCTCACGCGCGCGCAACTCGCGCAGGCCGCCGCGCAGCCCGGCGGCGGCGCAAGCGCAGGCGCGGGCAGGGGCGCGGGCGCTGCACCGCCGGTGCAGCCACTGCCGCCGCAGCAGCAGGCGTTTGGACTGGCGGGGGGACGGGGCGGCGGAATCTGGTTACCCGACGGCCACGTCACCGGTAACACGGTTACAGGGACTCCCGGGGGCTATTACCCCTTAGTTCCGCTGTTTAACGGGGCTATGCCCAGCGGTATCCCCGGCGCTATGGGCCCAGGGATATCTCCCTCTACCGGGACCCCTGTAACTTACGGCCTCGTCGGTCCCAATGGGGAGATTTACGCTGTTGCCGGGGGCAGCGGCGGCATGGCCGGAATGGGTGGCGGTATAGGCGGCACAATGGGTGGCGCAACTCTCGGCGGGACGGGGGCGGGTGGTTGGGGAAGTGCCCCTGGTTTTGCAGGGTATAATAGCCCGTTTTCCACGCCCGGGGGTTGGTCTGGGGAGGACCAATCAGAATGGAGCACGGACGATACTAACGGAAGGGGCGGGTACGGAACTGGGCCGGCCGCGTATCGCGGCGACTCGCCCGCGGCCGCTAGACGGCGCCGGCCGTTCAAGTCCAAGTCGGCTAGCCGGTTAATGCCGTGGCAGCAGCGGCCGTGGAGCGCGGCGGGGTTCGCGGCGAGTAATGCGGGGGCGTGGACAGATTTGTCGGATACGAGCAGTGCGGTGTTTGGTAGGGACGATGTGACTGAACCGAGTGTGCTTTTTCCGGGGAGGAATTTGGTAGAGGACAGCAGCGTCGCGAGCTCTGTCGCAGAGAACCAGCTCAGCTGCTCGGCGAGCCCGCTGCGACCAGCGAACAGCCGCGCGACGTCGCCCAGGTCGCGCGCGTCGTCGCCTATGTCGCGCGCAACGTCGCAGGATCTGAGGGATTTTGTCCAAGGGCTGCAGAGGAGAGGCGCGAAGGGGGAACCGGGGGTCGGCGGAACCGGCGCGGGGAGGGAGGCGGCAAGCGGGTTGGACTTAGCCGCCGCTGCGATGGGGATGAAATCGGACGGCGGAGCGTTGATCAGGAGCGGGAGTGGCCACGGGAGGGCGTCGCATATCTCGCCTATCATCCGCTCTCAGTCCGCGTATCATGTGAGGGCGGGGAGCGGGGGAAGGGGCGCGGCGGCAGGCGGAGGCACAGGGGGAGAAGCAGGGGGATTTCCGGTGGGAGGGGCGGAGGGAGGAGCATGCGGAGCAGGCGGAGCAGGCGGAGCAGGCGGAGCAGGGGAAGCAGGAGGGGCAGTGGGGGCAGGCTGCACAGGCAGCATAGGGGGACCAGTTGATATCTTGATGGTAACCTCCTCAACTCCCAAAAAGGGCTCCTCGTGGGCGAATGCGGATGAGGGGAGGGATTATCTGGGGAGGTGGAGCTCAGGGGAGGTACGACCGCCCTGAACGACCGTTAGACTGGTGCCTGGGGAGCTCGAAATGGAGATTATGGCCGGGTGGGGAGAGGCGGAAGACGAGGGGGAGGAAGACGTCATGAAGGGGGAGGCGCTCCGCAACTCCCTGGAGGCTGGCGCGGGGACGGGCGGAAGGGGAGGTGGGGGGGCAGCTGCGGGGAGAGGTGCGGGGAGAGGAGGTGGGGGAGTGACGGAAGCGAGGAGGGCAGTGGGGGGGAGAGGTAACGGGGGTGTGGCGCCTGGGAACCGTGCTGAGGGGATGGGGTTTGGCGGAATGGGCGCTTTGGCGCGGAGCAGGAGCATTGGGAGCGCGGGGAGAGGGGGAGGAGCCGGCAGGGGGCGTGGCGGTGGGGGAGTGGGAGGCGGAGGGGGAACGGGGGCGATGAGTGTGCAGGAGAGGGCGATGATGGTGATGGAGAGGAAGCAACAGGAGGCTGCCAAACGCAGGGTGCGTGACCTTTGTTTCTATGTGCCTTATTCCTGATTTCATTGTTTGATTCTGTGTAGAAGCGCTCTTGCTCTCTTTGCATCAGTAGGCTTATGAGCACCTGATTTAATGTGCCTTTGCCCCTTCGCTTCCTCCCCCTTCCCCCACCTTCCCCTTCCCCCAACCCTCTCTTTCATTTCCCTGCACGCGCTCTGTGTGTGGTTCCAGGAGGAGGAGAAGCGTCGGCAGGAGGAAGCAAGGCAGCAGCGGCTCCACCGCAGCTCCTCCCTCGTGCGCTCCTCCTCCTCCTCTGCCTCGCTCTCCGAGCGTCGCCGGTCCCTCTCCTCCGCCTCCCACCCAGCCAGTGCTTCCGCTTCTGGTGCTGAGGTTGCAACTTCAGCCAGGGCTGCACGTGCGGCTGCTGCTCCAACCAGCACTTTCGCCACCCAAAAGAAGCAGCAGCTACCCTCCCCACGCTCCACTGCCTATCGTCGCCCCCTCTCTGCTCCTCGCACCTCCAGGCCTAGTTCTGCTGGTGGTGGTGCTGCTTCTCGCACGCTCTCCTCTTCCTCCTCTCTCACGGCTCCTACTGCTGCTTCTGCAGCCAAAGCAGCAGCTGCGAGTGCAGGTTCCCCTGCTACCACCTCTGCTGCAGCCGCCTCTGCTGCAATTGTGTCTCGTGCCCGTGCCCGCGCTCCGAGCCCCGATCTCTACCGCACAGGCAAGCTCGGGCAGCAAAACGGGCAGCAGCGAATCTCTCAGAACGTCCCAGGAAGCCGCTTGCAAGGCGCAGCTGCTGCGGGCATAAGGGGCGGGGTTGGCTATGAGGAGGACAGGCAGCGGGGGGAGGTGGTTCTGTGGGAGGTGGATTTGGGGAAGGTGGAAGTGGGGGGGGGACGTTGAAGGGCTGGTGAGAGGAGGGCGGGTGGTTCGGTCCCAGAGCGCCCATGTTGTTGTGAGGGAGGGTGCAGAGGAGAAGGAGAAGGAGAAGGAGAAGGAGCAAGGGCAGCTGTTCAACAATGGGCGAGGAGTGTCTGCTGCTCGGGGTCGCATTGCTGCTGAGTGTGGAGGAGGAAAGGAACCAACAGGAGCAGCAGCAGGGAAAGCAGCAGGGAAAGCAGCCGGAGCAGCAGGGGCAGCAGGAGGAGCAATGGAGGAAAACAGCAGGAGCATCAAGGGAAAGGGCAGGGAAGATTGTGGAGAATGACTATCCGGTTCTGATGAGGAACAAGTCTCCTGCTCGAGGTAGGGAAGCTAATGTAGGGAGTGCGAAGGGCGGGGATGGACTGAGTCAGGAGTCCTTGCTCGTGACTTCCCTCGAGTGCTGGAATTTCAGTGACTATGGAAAGGCGGTGGCGGCGGCTGCGGTGGGGAAGGCGGAAAGAGGGGAGGCGCAAGGAGAAGTGAATTCAGATGCTGATTTCAGCTGGACGCAGGGTGGGGGAAGCAGAGACGAGGACTGGGTGTGCAGCAGCTGCAACAGCAACAGCAGCAGCAGGAGCAGGAGCAAGCAGCAGCTGCAGCAGCAGGAGCAGCAACAGGAGCAGGAGCAGGAGAATAAACAGGTGGCTAGTGGAAAGAACGTGGTCCAGAGAAGGATGTGGATAAGGGATGTCATGTCTAACGAGCATGAGAATGTGGCTGTGATGAATGCAGCTAATGCCCCTAAACTGTCTATGAAGGCTGGAGCAGAGGAGCTTGTTCTTCTGCCTGCTGGGAACGCCCTTGGGCCTGTGGTGCAGTATGGAGGCAAGGGTGGGTGGGAAAGGAGCTGAGAAGGCAGGG